AAGTGGTCATAAGTATGTTTTGCAAGGTTTAACAAGGTCGACGGTCTGTCATTCTTAGAATTACACATTTCAGCAACCGTACTTCGTTACTGAATGAAATCAATCCATGATTCCTTCCCATCGAAGTCAGAAGATACCATTCTTTCTTCACGGAAAATGTTTCAGTTTTTTTTTTTAAAGAAAAAGCGCAATGGTGACGGGGAATGTTCGACCCCTGACATGTTTTAACTTGCATTTAAATAATCCATATGCGCTTTTGTAACTGCGTGCAATGTTAAAGAGTATGAGGAAGGAAAAAAAAAGGGGACAGTGTATTTATACGTAAGAAATAAGGGGCTCATTCGGATATCGATTCCTAAGAAGAGAGAATCTTTCCTGACGACTTAGACCCATTTGGCAAATAGCCAAGAACACGCTCGCCAGAGTCGTTTTATACAGGATTATATTCGCACAACCCCCACCACCTCCACCACACACACTTCCGTTGATGAAATTTCTGTCGATACAAGTTTCATTGACGTGGCATTTATACTTTGTTTTTTTATTGCAACCACGATTTTGTAACCGAGTGTAAACTTAAATTACAACTAAACACACTAACGGGCGAGATTCTTTTTTTTTATTTTTATAGGGAATTTTAAATTGAAGTGAAGTGAAAAACATATCTGATAAAAAACGATTGTCGAAATTTCTCTGGGATGAGTTACTTTTTTGATGGGGAAGCAATTTATTTCTACCTTTTATTGCTTGCTTTTATTTATATAGTGATAATAGGACACGATTATTTTTTTTTAATTCCTTTTTTTCACATGCATAAACATTTTTTTTTTGTCAACAGACAAAAAATTTTATGTCATTGAGTATATTTTATGTCAGCATTGTGGTTAGTGCGAGCCGGTAGTGGAATTCGTATCGATCAACCACCAGTGGGATTCGAACCCTCCCCCTCATTGGGAAGAGAGCGCTCTATCCCCTGAGCCACCACGGCTCCACAGGAGAGTATTGAAGAGTTTTCATTCCAATGCTAAAACAGCAAGTTAAGAAAGCGAAGTAATTTTTTTTACCTAAAGTATACAGCGCCCTCTTTTGGTAATAAGCCTAACTACGAATAGAATGAAAAAGGTTGCAGTTTTCGTCCATTGTCTGTAGTTGAATTAATGAAATTCACTCTAATTGCTTAGGTATTTTTTTTTGTTGTTTCATTTCATTTCAATAATGCGGTTGGAGGTTTTCTCTTTAAAAATACAAAATGTTAATTTAGACAAAAGTACATTTTTTTTTGTACCTTAACTAAATTACAATTTGGTTTAAATACTTTTCTTGTTCTTAATATTATTTCTATGTATAATATGAGTGACGTGCACTGTTTAAATAATTCAAAAAATGTATGCGGGTAAGTGTTATTGTTAGTAATTCTTGCATAAGCGATTTTCGATAACTTATAGTAGAATTTATCATAGAAAAAAAAAACGGTTCAATCAGCACATCAAATTTCATACCTCTAAAAGTATTGATAGATGTCAAAAGTTGTAATATTATTTAATCTTATATAACAGCTGTTAAGATTCGGGAGTCATTTTCTAGACCGGCAGTATTATATCATCGATCTGATCTCCTGTCGCCTCCACCTTTATTCATTAATTTGCTTATTTAATTCCTACTATAAGTTCACACTCCTATATTTTGTTCAAATTTTCAATAGTTAATAAAATAATTTTTATTCATCCACTTCACTTGATGGAATACACTTGATGTTAATACAGTTATTTTCAATATTAATTCATTCATTAAATAGGGATGAACGAAAAACGAAATGGAATTTTCTGATGGGTTAAGCCTTAGTCATTGTTTTAAAATTTTACTATAAGCGATTTAGATTTTACACATATTTTATAGATAACATCAGTGATAACTTCTAACTTATAGCTCTAGTTGAAAAAAAAAGTTTTTTGAGCACTTTAAATATTTAATTATTTTATATTCGCTGTGTCAGATAAATTTAACACAGAACATTACGTGGTAGCACGTGTGGTCCACTTCACCAAATTTATACTTTTATAGTTGCCTGATAGCCTTTTATTTTTTCAATTCCTACTATTAGTTCACACTCTCTCTATATATATTTATACTAGGAGGCTTCGCCCCCTGCTCGCTAGCGCTCGCCAACCCCCGGAACTGCTTTCGCAGTTCACTTCGGATTGCTTCGCAATCCGATGCTCGCTTTGCTCGCTCATTGGATACGTTCTTAACGTCTAGCTTTTGTATACTTTTTTGAACACTGAAGTTCCGAAAACTTTTCACTGTAGAAAATTCTAAACCTGTGCATTTCAATATTAATTTGAAATTGCAAACAGTTCACATATTTTTCTTAATCACACTATTCTAAATTTCAGTTGTTGCGAAAAGTAACTGTTGTAAGTTTTGTTTTAAAGTCTTTCCCACCAGAAGGCTAAAACAATGCGTTGTAAAACAACATGAAATAGTACTGAACTCCGGATGTAAAGCATCGGCTTCGATGAAGATAATTTTGTGAGAATTTTTTTGATAATTCGGTGAGAATTCACCCGATTAGACATATGATATGCTCACTACGTGCTCTTGCGCCCCGAATCCTATCAATTAAAAATGAAAACTGTTGCCAACGCGAGAAAAGAAATATCATCGGTTTTATTGATACATACGTACGTATAAGCGTTTTATATAATATAGATAGATATCTTGTTCAAATTTTCAGTCATTAATGAAATACTTTTTAATCATCTATTCAAATTCAAATACATCTTTTTGAACTTGTAGTGGATCACACTTGATGTTAATACAGTTTTTTTTTTAAACATTAATTCATTTATTAAATTAAATTCATTAATTTTAGTTTCATATGGGAGAAAAAATTTTAATTATTTAATAAAAAGTAACTAGAAGAAGTAAAAGTAACTTTGTTGAGCTAAATAGTAATGGACTTTAAAAAAAAAATATTAATTGTTTTCTTTATCAAGATATGGTTATGTTACATCGAAATTAAAAATATCTCAAGATAAATTATTTAATTAGTGCAGGTTTTCGATTCTATTGATATAAAATGTAAATGGATTTGCTCCTTAACCGTTCGAATTCAGTAAAAAATTTTCTTTTTTAATTATTTGGTTGTTATAAAAACTCATTGAATAATTTCACTTCAAAAAGATTATTAAAAAATTGAAGGTGGAAGTTAACAATGCTTTACAATTTTGTGTACATCATTTTTCATTACATAGGGTGACATAAAGCTTATAATAAAAATGGATATAACGTATGTACAGTTTTGAAACTGCGAAACGGGTTAATGAGTTAGATTTTAATATATTTTGGTACCAATAAGGTTTAGGATCTTAGGATTTCTTAATAACAAACCGCTTTAAATTTTCAGGTTTTAATTTTGAGTAACAATGAACGTTGTATTAACACATCAAAAAAACTTTCTAGAAATAATTGTTAAATAAGGGACAAATAAATATTTTACACATACCTTTTGTTCTGTTAATAGTGATAAAAACCAAAGAGGAATCAGAGCAACAAACGTTAAAATCTCATTCACTCGTTTGCATCATCATGTCCTTGTATTAAATATAAAATATGTTATGATTAATAAATATAAAATGTTATGATTAATATGATGGCCTTTTCATAATAATGGATTAAATCGCTATATTTGGGTGAAATATGTAACGATTTGGGCGAAATATAACGAATTGTCTGTCACCTAATAGGGCGCATCTCATTTGCATGTTAGTATTATTATATGTTTAAATAAATAGGGAATTATTTTGTATATTTTATAATATTTTGAAAATGTCACAACTGTTTCTTGAAATTTTCTACATTTTGAAAATGAAACTTGACATGTTCTTATAAGATACGCTTAAAAAAAAATGCCTTACATTACTAATATATACATTTTTACCCATTGGAAAAATGGTTGTTGGAGTTGTTTTGGGTTTGATGGCATGCGCACCTTATTTGGACGCTATCACACTTTTGAACTGTGTTCAACAGTTCTAGTAAACAGTGCGTATGCGTCGTCATTGCATGTGTTGCTATGGCGACCGCTACCGTTTGATAATTTTTTTAGAATTCTTTTTTAAATATTGTCTTAAGTTAAAACTTTAAAATGAACTGGATAACTTCGATCAACATCAAAACCATAATCTCAAATATAGAATTGTATAAGTCATTAAAAATCATTAATAAAAATCGATACAGCAAGATCAAATAAAAAAAGTGGATAATGATTTTGGAATTTCTTGGAATTGATTGTTTTCACTTCTGAGTTTTTCCTTTTAATTTCCCCGACAAATATTTTTAATGTTTCTATATAATGTTAATTCAAATTATTTTAATATTCATTTTGTGATTCACTTATTTATAATTGCTATCTTGGCGGTGATTATATATGATATAAATATGAATACTGAAGAAGGAAAAGAATTTTATGACGTCTTAAGAAATTTATATTGATTGATTGGAAACCGAAGAAGCACGATGAGCGGACAAATCGATGCAGTTTTTGCAACCAATGACAATTTTTGTTTATAAAAGTCTATTAAGTAAGGAAAAGAAACATTTGACGAATGGGTAACCAGTGATTGCAATAATACAATCACAATTTTCTTTCTTTCGTAATTTTATTTTTTAAATTAAAATTGTTTCCTTTAAAAAAGAAAATTATAAATTTCGTTTTGTACAACTCTTACTTATTTTGAATAAACTTCTTTTAATGACTCTATCATTTATTGTCATTGTTTTCTGAATGAAAAAAGATTTTTTTTTCTTTTTTATTGTTTAAAATTTTCAAATTCTGAGAAAAGAGTCTACATGTTAAAAATGCTAGTTGCAAAATTTTGCTTTGCACATGCATATCAGATTTACTAGTTCATTGATTGGCGAGAATTACAACCATGTTTCTTTAAAACAATGTAGGTAAGTACATGGTTAGAGAAATTATAAATGTGTTGTTGTTTCAGATGGTGACCAGGACGAAGAAAGTCTTTGTGGGCGGACTATCAGCTCCGACGACACTGGACGATGTTAAAAACTATTTTCAACAATTTGGAAAGGTCAATATTTCCGTTTTATCCCTTCTTCATTTTAAAAAATAATAACAATTTTTCTTTTGTGTATTGTCAATTGAGTAAATTTAAAATTACGGCAAATTCCTAAAATTACTTTGAAAATTATGTTCATAGTTCATATTTTCACGAATTCTAACTCATATGTAATATTTTTTTAATTATATAGCCTAATGTTGGTTTGCCGATCTCATCACGTTTTGCTAAACATTCTATCATTACAATAGGCAGCGAACCCAAGTGCAAATATGTTTAGCGTAGTTGTAATAAATGCAAAATGGAACCTGTAGGGGGAAAAAATTAAATAAATGTTTAATTTTTGTCCGATAATAAAAAATTTGCTTATGGAAGAAAAAAATTTTATTTTTAAACGCATAAGGAAGGAAAATGATATTTGCTTTTTCAAACCTTAAAACCTTAAAAACGTTTTTTTTTTTTTTTTTAAATTTTTTATTACAAATCGGAATTTTTTTCGATCAATTCGGTGCTTTTATTTCCTTTTCCGTGATACNAACACTTCGTTTGTTTATTTGTGGCTTGAAGTTAGGCTCGCAGAAAATGCCGTTCATGGGTTAAATTTAGTAGGAATAACACAACCTGTGACGTAAGCTATAGTATACCCAATTCGGAGAACTTATTTCCTTCTCCGTGATACACTTCCTTATAATCACGTTTTTAATCAAAGTTAAAGTGTTTTTTTTTAAATTTATTCAAAATAATATTTAAATCATTGTTCCGCGTTATCTTAAATAAACAGTTAATTAATTGCTAAACAAAAGTTAGGAACTCGAGTTAAATACCTATATCAATGCAAAGTTTATAAAAAATATTATTTTTTATACCATTGGGTTAAGAAAAATGAGCACAATTCTTTTATTTATTTCAATTAACTATTAACTTTGATTCATAAAAACAGGTTTCAGAAGTTTAAGCTAGATTTAAAATAATACATTTGTCACTGTGCGCTAATAATCGATCCAATAACTATTGAAGAAGACGTCGAAAGTGAAACTAAATAAAAATGGTGGCTATTGAAGGAGCTTTCTTTTATTATTATTATACCCAAGCTTTGAATGGGAAAATGTGTTTATTTTATTGTTCTTACTTTATTTTGTGGGCAGATAACGTTCCTCTGGATTTGCCGAGTCATGGATTCCATATGGAAACAGTAAGAATGAATTATATAATGAAACATACTCATAGATAGTCTCTACATTTAGAAACACCCCCTCTTCTCTCGCTCGGTTGTCTCTCATTTTTCACCAACAAAGGAATTAATTGCCCTTATCAAGCTTTTATTTATATATGAACCTATCCTTAAAAAGAACAAATAATATCAGACCCCGCTATAATAAAAATCTCACTTCAGCTTCTAGAAATAACTTATCGTAAACCTGGGCGAGTCTACCCATTTTTTCAGTTTTTTAAATTCTCAAGTAGTCAAACTTTTGTAAATATTAAAGAAAAAAGGCTTTTAATAGGTGTTTCGGAATCGCTATTTATCCCTCTTTAAAGCTGTGAAATCGATTTTAATAAATATTAACAGTTACGCTGTTACTGTATATTTTTATAGAACTGCTGACAAATCTCTCGTATGGGGCGAGTCTACCCATTCTACTAAAATGAATGTTAACATTGTAAATAATCAAATTTTACTATTAAATTGTTATTTTAGTTACTATATAGGATATTTATGAAGTAAAATTCATAACTTTATTATATATTCCATTTTTTTATTCATAAAATAACACAAATTGAGTATTTGATCGATTATCACATTTTGATCACAGTTTTGTTTTTATAATCATTAACATTATAAAATAACATTTTTTTCTGATTATTGTTGATAAAAATAAATTAAAATTAATATAAATTTACAATTAAATAATTAATAAATAATAATAATTAAAGATTATTAACAAAATCGAAATTCAAACATTGGGAATCATGAAAAATCCTTTTCCCATTCTTTTGGGAGGTAATAATAATTTATAAATAATAATTTATTTAACTTGCATTAAATAAAAAAAGTTAATTTTGTAATATAAAAATTGAAAAAATAGGTAAAATAAACATATTTTATATTTACATTTATATTTAACCTATAAATTTTCTTATTAATGATAAATTTATCAATGCAGAATTAAAATAATATACTCAAATTCATTTAAAATGACTTAATTTTAATATAAACAAAGTTCTAAATTATATTATTATGCTTTATTAAAACTAAATACGAATGGGTAGACTCGCCCCGCGAATTCTGGCTTTTTGTTTACAACAGCAAAACTTACATTCTTTTTGTTGTTTTTTCATATAAAGTTAATGTAATCTTAGTCTTAGATAAGTTTATCACTTAACCAAAGTGAAAATAGTAATAATAATAATATACTTACGGAGCACCAACTAAAAGTTTGCTGATCTCTCAAAAGACGTTTGAACAGGTCGGTTAAAAAGACACCAAATAAATAAAAACGGATCAAACTACTACAGCGCCCTCTTCCTTAGAGTCTGAACTAAGTCCTCCGTCGGTAAAAACCTCCGTCGGTAAGACTCGCCCCTGGATGGGTAGACTCGCCTCGGTTTACGGTACGTTATTTCATACTCTTACGAAATATTCTTGGATTTTTTTGTATTTAAATAAAGATTTTTATTAAGAGTCGTTATTAAGAGTCAAAAATTATATGACTCTTAATTAGAAAGGAGTGTTAAAATCGAGTCACTGCGAATAGTTCCAAAAGAAGCACATAGGAAAAAGAATCAATCGGTAGTATAGAAATTTAACTTTTGATTGCAATTTTTCTTCTTTTTTTTTTCAAAAATAGTGGATTAGAAAAATAAACATGTAAGAACTAACGAAAACTGAGGAGATAAACGCTTAAAATAGTTGGGTGACAACCACTTCGTTATATGGGGAATTTTTTAATGTTATTTAACGTAATAAATTTCGTAATAAACAGAATCTCGGTGTAAGAAAACTACATTGCTGAAAGACAGCATATTTAGTCTATTAATAATTTATGAAGTAAAATATGTAGTTTTGCAATCACAATTTCCAACATTACCATTGCAATATATATATATATATTTTTTTTTTGCAACGATTTTGAAATGAGTGAACTATCTTTTATAGTGGACTCTTTACTAGCACCACACACGGATCACTATAGCGGGGTCCGAGTTTATTTAATAGATGAAGAAGAAAAAAATCACTCACAACAACGATTATTCATTGTAGATTTTTACTTCCAATTTTTATTCTTCAAAACAAATTCTTCAACTTTTAAATACTCTAAAGTTTTAATTCCTAAGTCGCAGTATTTTCATTGAAGATAGATTTTAAATTTTAATCTTTGAAACAAAACAGAAAAATACACGAATGTTTGAAATTTCATTATTTGAGAATTCAAAAAACTTCATCCAAAAATTAGTGAGTGGATCGAAAATGGTTTTATTGTCCATTTTAAGGAGACACTCTTACAGATGATGAAGCCAACCTCTCTTTGGAAACTAATGATCATGGATTCGAATCTGACATTATGAGAAATGTATCAACAAGTCTGTTAATAAAATAACAACTATGAGAATGTATAAAACCTCGATAAGTGGATGTTGTTTGAGTTGCTAAGAAGTTGTAATAATAAACGATCGACATTTCTTCAAATGAATGAAACGAACCACCCCAATTATTTTGCAATTAGTTTTTAATAACTTTTATAACATTTATAAATTAATAAATTAATAATTTATAAATTAATAAGTTTAATAACATTTATTTTCCCCACCTTGTTTCTACCTTAAGAGTGAAGTATAGTTCGTTCACCAGGTGTTGGCACTTGGCTCCACCTCCTCGGACGCAAGAGTTAATTTCAGGGTGGGAGTAAGAGGAGAAACATCTCCGCGCTTGAAAATTAGACAACCCTTAATGCGCGCCAAACGCAAACAGTGAATTCTTTTCCAGCCACTTACTTCGCTTTATCACCTGCTATGATTTTTTTCGTTACTCTAGCTAATTAAATATATTTTAATTTTAAAAACTGCTGTTTCCCCAGCAAAATGTCTCAAAAAGGACAAACTGTTCAATCAAAAGAGAGAAATATCATCAAATTTATGAAATAATTAATGTTAAAAAAATGCACATAAAATCGATATGTTTGTCATACGATCGCCAAATAGTTATCTTGTTTAAGATGGATTATTCACATTCTTCTCCCAAAAATAGTTAAACAATGTCGTCGGATACCACGTGATGAAGGCGGAGCCAAGCTCCAACTCCTGGTGAACGAACTATATACGTCAAGGTTGTGAGTGATTCGTGTAATTTGAAACCTTAGATACCAAAAAAATTCCTTGTTGGTGAATGAATTTTCCTTTTTTTTTAGACTATTTAAAACTAGATATTTCATTTTTCTAATTAGTCTCTACTGTGCTGAGAGAGGTCGGCATTTATTTACTTAAAATAGTATTAATATGCATGTGGAGATCTCTTAGCTGTTTATAGTCCAGTGGTATTTAAACACATTCAGTTTCCTTTAGAATTGCCTGGAAGATTAACAGAGAATCCATCAGAGAAACATGCTATATCCAATAGATTTTTGTTAAATGGATGCTCAGGGTGTTTTCTAAACAACGCTCTTGCAAATGCACTTCTCTGAAACGTTATTGAGAATGGACACAGAGTGCATAGTAAAAAAAGGTGTCCGATTTCAAAATGAATTCACTTTGAAACACTTAATGGACTCTATGAATGTCAGGACATAGTTACAAAAATTAGAGGGCAACATTAAACCGTAATTTGAAATGGCGCCATCTTGCTATGGAACAAATGTTGAACGATCATTCGGAATACTATTTATGGTTGAAGAATGATTTTAACAGAAGTTTATATTAATTACGAAAGAAGCTAAAATTGACAAAAATTAAATCTGATTTGAAGACCAAAGGGGTGACCATGAAAGTGGAGAAGATAGTAAAGATTTTTCCACAGGATTGTGTAAAAATTCTCTGGAGAAACCTATTTTTCACGTTATTGATTTGTCAAAAATCTTCAAAATGCGGCCATCCATTTTTTGGAAAAATGAACATAAACCGTTCCTCTCTCTTGGACTTAATTTGAAAACTATTTTCGATAGAGCTGTGATATTTCAGAACATTATTTCAGTAAATGTACTTCGGAGCTGCTTTCTTTATTCAACATATTTTGAAAATGACACTCTCATAATTTTCTCTATCAATAAACCAGTTTTAAATAAATATATTCAATTTTTCTTTAAGTGATACTTAAGACAGTCACAATAATGCATAAAAAATGACAATATTTGAGTTTCCTTTGAATTTTCTACCATTGAATCTCCCTTATACTCCTATGATTTAATATACCGAGAATGTTCACAACTAGGTGTGAAATATATCTGCCTTTTGTACCAATAACACTGAAATTTGTTAGTACATTAAGATAAGACACACATAACAGTCAATAAAATTTTAAGATACACTAATTTTTAAAATGTAATTAGTTATAAATCAAACACAGTACAGAGAGAATATTAATCGGAGAAAAGGATAGAAATTATACAATTTACAGTTATTTAAAAATTAAATATCTTAATTAGGTTTATATCCGTCTTTGAAAAGCCAGCCCAATTTTGGGTTTACGACAACTAATGTTCAACTCCATAGCCTTGTCATTTTGAACCACTCCAGAAGACAAGAAGGAAACTCCTGGATCAGTACCTCCAGGGGTATTGATTTGTAATGGGAATATGGAGGACTTTGCGACTCCAAGGATTTTACGTACATCGGTCACCGTTTACTACACGGGGAGTCTTCAGCCGGCGGGGATCGAACCCACGAACGTTTGGACATGTTCCCAGTGCCTTACCAACCAGGCTATCCTGACCCATCTTTATTAGGTTACTGAAAACATATAAAATACATTTGTTGCATAGAAGACAAAATCACACCAAGTCATAAACAATTTGCTGAAGATACGCCAACATTCGTATGGAAACGAAGATAATTTCGTATGAATTGTATGCGCGTGAAATTGGTGCAAGCCCTGACGAGTCTTTAAATTTAGTTACACTCTATAAATTGAATGTGCTTCACTTGAAATAAGGTTACACATTTTTTGATCCTACAATATCAGTACATTACAACTCTGAGTTGATTTTAAGAAGGATACGTAAAAGTTATTGCAAAAGCCAGTTGTGAATACTAACAAGCTTTGTGTGAAGAATACATTTTATTGAAAATCTTTCCAAGAAGTGCTAAGAATCGACATCAAGCCACAAAGTATTATTTTATAAATAAAACTATGCACTTAAGTGCAATTTTCTGGTTATAAAACACACACCAGTGGGGGGTGTATCTTATAACCAGGTTAATTGAACCATGTTATCGAATATTTTTATCGCCCATTCATGAAATTGGATACCTCTGCACTCTATTTTGTGAAATAATCATTGCTGAATTATTCTTCTACCTGATTTTATCTTAATCTTCAGAATGATTGATCTTAAATTTTTTCATTTAATTAGCAAGCACTCAAAGTCCCAAAGATTGTATTTTTTAGAGGTGCATTTTATCAAGAGTGATAGTTATAGAACACCCCGTGTGTTTATTTCAGATTTAAAAAAAACTATTTGTGATATGTATTTATTTTTACTATGGCCTGTATGTGATAATGCAATTTGATTTTTAATTTATTTCTACCAATTTTTGTTACTACGATTTTGTTTCTATAACTATGAATTTTATTTTTTTTACTAATGATTTTTTTGTAATATTCGAGGAAAGAATATTTTTCTATTTTCGACCAGAAAAAAATACTTTCAAATTTGTTTTTCTTAAAATAACTCGATGGCTGGAAACGGAATTAATCTTTTGATTTTTTTCCCACTTATGATAAGCACACATTATTTGGAAAGTAATGCAATGCATATGAGTTTTATAAAAGTGCTTAAGAAAGTAAAATCTGACCTGATCATAAGCTAATCGTCATGAAATAATTCTCTTCTAAAGTTATTCATAACACTTTCACTGAATAAACTTCTGAAAATAACAGATTTTAAAGAAACTTTGGTACTAAAAATAATTTTTAATAATCATTTTTAATGTTATGAAAAATTATTTTAGCTGTGGAATTTCTCTTTCAATTTTGCGTTCAACCATAAAATGACAGTATTTAATAGGATTCTTTAGTGTTTTTCTTTCTAGAAAAGAGGATATTTTGACAAATAGTGTGAACAATTGGACAATATTTTGAAAGCAAGCATAATTTTAAAAGCGTTTTCACGAAATCTTAGGTCGCCATTTTAGTCAAAATATTTTTTCTTCACTACGTTAAAAAAAACTTACATTTTTAAAAATTCTTTAAACAACACTCATTTAAGTATTTATTTGATTACTTTTCTCCAAACAAATCTGTGCGAGAGGACATCATTTAGTCATACGAGAATTAAGATTTCTTCACAAAAAAAAATCTAATCTATTTTCAATTGTTTTTGATATAAATGTTTTGACGAGGTGGAGCAAAATCAGTCTTGTCAGCAAAATCAAGAAATGTAAAATCAGTCTTCTCCCACTCGACGAATACTAAAAGAAAAATCTACTTGAAATTACAGAATCCTTTTTTTAATTTTATGCTCTCATCAGCAATTTATAAATTTAGACTAGATAATTTTACTTTATCTTTAATAACTTTTTTTTCACGTTGTCTAAAACCTGTTTATTTAAAATCCTTTTTTACATGTAACATAAATAATTTCATTCATTTAAAACAGAAGATGGTTAAAATTCCCCCAAAACTAATTCAAACTATTACTATATTATATCTTTTTTCTAATTCTCCTACCATATAACAGTAAATTTCTGCTATGTTAATGGCTAGTCAGTTTGTTTTATTTTGATGTTAATCGTTCTACAGCGTTTTTAATGTTTAACTTCATTACGTTACATTATTAAACTCGCATTTTTTACGTATATATGTATATACAGTCGAACTCGTTTATAACGAGCTCGGATTTAACGAGAACTCGGATTTACCGAGGGAAACGAGAATATTTGGTTGGATCAATGTTAAGTCTATGGAACAGAAGTCGCTTTTAACGAGCAAGACCCTGTTTTAGCGAGCAATATTTTTCTGTCTGACAATCTTTTTTCTCATCTTTCTAGCCTTTCTGTCTTATCTTTTTTTCAAAATGATGAGAAATGCGTGAAATCAAAAAAAAAAAAAGAACCGCGAACTGAAATTTAATTGCCCTTATCGCTCTAATCTTTTGCATGTTGGGGAGGTTAGTTGTCATTAAATTAAGAAAAGTATTTAATTAAATTAATTAATGTAATTAAAGTAAGTAAATATCAATTAAATTTTAAGTAAACTCAATCATTTGACCTCCCAAGCCCCCCTCCCTCTTCTGGTTGCACGCTTGCCTTAAGGATCCGTTTATTACGAGCACTCGGATTTAACGAGTACAATGTTACGGTCCCTTTGTGCTCGTTAGAAACGAGTTCGACTGTATATTACATAGTTTACAAATATTTCTTTAAATCAAGGAAATGTTGTTTCGCTTATCATTTCGTGTTATTCTTTCAGGTGGAAGATGCAATGCTCATGTTTGACAAACAGACTAACAGGCACAGAGGTAATTCTTTTATATGTTTTTAAACTTTTCCTAAAAAAACAGATGGATGGAACAATAAATAACATTCGCAATATACAAAACTTTTTCATTTAATATAATAATCCTTTCTTTAGCAACCGCTACTAAAAATGTTGGTGTGAATGTTTTTATAACGGTTGCCGAAACAAGTAACCTTTTTTAAAGTATATGGCCAAAAATTTTTGGTCATACTTTTAAAAAAAAAGATCATTAAATTGTACCACCTATAATAATCAAGATAAGGAATAATTTTTCTAATGGTTTCTAAAAAATGTTCTAATATAGGTTATGTTTATTTCTCGGACGATATGTTGAGGCATGTTCTTTAAAAGCATTCTTTCATTTTAAAGTATGCACCATACCTCTTAAAACAGTTTATAAAATACGAATGACTGTTGAGACCTTTTAAGAACAAAATGTTTAATAAAAAGAGCATAACAAGCTTACATGAGGCCTAAAAGCAACAAATTAACGTTGTTTAAGTTTGTATCCGTGCTCGACTTGAAATTTCGGTTCATTTAGATTTGAACATTTTAAAAAGTATAAATCGAAGGAATTTCTTTCCAGTTAGAACCGGTCAAAATAATCATTCAAGAGTGATTTTTTTCGCACTATCTAGAATGTCGAATTTCTGTTACCTCTGTTAATTGTAACTGTTATTCATTCCATAGGTTTCGGTTTTGTTACCTTCGAGAACGAAGACGTGGTAGACAAAGTGTGCGAAATACATTTCCATGAAATCAACAGTAAAATGGTAAGAGTTTTCACTAATTTTCTGTAAATTGCTTTGCTTCTGAAACTATTCCAGAAGCGTTAATGAAATTTTGCCTGCATAAAGTATGTGTTCAAGAATATCGCACGATAACAGTTACAGAATTTCGAAATTTGAAGAGGACAACATTTATTACCCGTTGGCAAAATGGGTCTTGTTTTGGATTTGATGGCGTCCACACATTTTACAACTGTGTTTAAGAGTAACAGTAAACAGTGCGCATGCGTCGTCATTGCATGCGTTTCTATGGCGACAACTGCAGTTTTTATTTTTATTTTCCCTAGCAGGCATTTGTAATGTATTTACATAATAATAATTTAAAGTATTTTTAAATTCTTTTTATTATTAACGTATAATTACTATCTTTACGGTGATTTTAATATAAATATGAATGCTGGAGAAAGAAAAGTATTTCGTGACGTCTTGAAACACTGGATGGACATGAAAATCAATCCGACGACAAACATCAATGGAGACAGTTTTTGCAACCCATGATTTGAAATGTTTTATTTCCAATGAGCTGCACAATCGGTCTTGCCGATGAGCAGACCTAGTGCGTTCTCCAGAGGTGGTATCCACTCTTTCAGGACCACCACAATGGGTGAGATACCGTTGGTCATGTTGATTTGGACGTCTAGTTTCTGCCACACTAGATGGCAGCACCGAGACTCTATTTTGGATGCACTAGGAATTTAATTTTGCCGGAAATGCCAAGAGTCAATAAGACACTCCAGGGATCTTTTACATGCCGCATAATCATACGACATGGCCGCTGAGGATTTTCTGCATCCCGAAAATCCGGTGTCTGGGCCGGGGATCGAACCCGCAGACTTGGGCT